TTGTCACTAGCTGTCCTGTTGGGTATGTTGTCACTAGCTGCCCTGTTGGAAAGTTGTCAAGTCACTAGCTGCCCTGTTGGGTATGTTGTCACTATCTGTCCTGTTGGAAAGTTGTCATGTCACTAGCTGTCCTGTTGGAAAGTTGTCATGTCACTAGCTGTCCTGTTGGGTATGTTGTCACTAGCTGTCCTGTTGGGTATGTTGTCACTATCTGTCCTGTTGGGTATGTTGTCAAGTCACTATCTGTCCTGTTGGGTATGTTGTCAAGTCACTATCTGTCCTGTTGGGTATGTTGTCACTAGCTGTCCTGTTGGGTATGTTGTCAATATCTGTCCTGTTGGGTATGTTGTCACTAGCTGTCCTGTTGGGTATGTTGTCAAGTCACTAGCTGTCCTGTTGGGTATGTTGTCAAGTCACTAGCTGTCCTGTTGGGTATGTTGTCAATATCTGTCCTGTTGGGTATGTTGTCAAGTCACTAGCTGTCCTGTTGGGTATGTTGTCAAGTCACTAGCTGTCCTGTTGGGTATGTTGTCACTAGCTGTCCTGTTGGGTATGTTGTCACTAGCTGTCCTGTTGGGTATGTTGTCACTATCTGTCCTGTTGGAAAGTTGTCATGTCACTAGCTGTCCTGTTGGAAAGTTGTCATGTCACTAGCTGCCCTGTTGGGTATGTTGTCACTAGCTGTCCTGTTGGGTATGTTGTCACTAGCTGTCCTGTTGGGTATGTTGTCACTATCTGTCCTGTTGGAAAGTTGTCATGTCACTAGCTGTCCTGTTGGAAAGTTGTCATGTCACTAGCTGTCCTGTTGGAAAGTTGTCATGTCACTAGCTGCCCTGTTGGGTATGTTGTCACTAGCTGTCCTTTTGGAAAGTTGTCATGTCACTAGCTGTCCTGTTGGGTATGTTTTCACTAGCTGTCCTGTTGGGTATGTTGTCAAGTCACTAGCTGTCCTGTTGGAAAGTTGTCAAGTCACTAGCTGTCCTATTGGAAAGTTGTCATGTCACTAGCTGTCCTATTGGAAAGTTGTCATGTCACTAGCTGTCCTGTTGGGTATGTTGTCAAGTCACTAGCTGCCCTGTTGGAAAGTTGTCATGTCACTAGCTGTCCTGTTGGAAAGTTGTCATGTCACTAGCTGCCCTGTTGGAAAGTTGTCATGTCACTAGCTGTCCTATTGGAAAGTTGTCATGTCACTAGCTGTCCTGTTGGGTATGTTGTCAAGTCACTAGCTGCCCTGTTGGAAAGTTGTCATGTCACTAGCTGTCCTGTTGGAAAGTTGTCATGTCACTAGCTGCCCTGTTGGAAAGTTGTCATGTCACTATCTGTCCTGTTGGAAAGTTGTCATGTCACTAGCTGTCCTATTGGAAAATTGTCATGTCACTAGCTGTCCTATTGGAAAGTTGTCATGTCACTAGCTGTCCTATTGGAAAATTGTCATGTCACTAGCTGTCCTGTTGGGTATGTTGTCACTAGCAGTCCTGTTGGAAAGTTGTCATGTCATTAGCTGTCCTGTCAGGTATATTCTTTTCTCTACAACATCGGCATATTTTCGTACTACAACTGCATATTAATACCTACTTTTTCTTAAAGATTGCGAGATTTTTCTCAATCCTGACGCTTTAACTTTTAATTCACAGCCCAGACTATCATGTCTATGTTGTGTCTGTGTGCTTGCTACTTTGTGTCCGCGTGCCTGTCTACGTTGTGTCCGTGTGTCTGTCTACGTTGTGTCCGTGTGCCTGTCTACGTTATGTCAGCGTGCCTGTCTACGTTGTGTCCGTGTGTCTGTCTACGTTATGTCAGCGTGCCTGTCTACGTTATGTCAGCGTGCCTGTCTACGTTGTGTCAGCGTGCCTGTCTACGTTATGTCAGCGTGCCTGTCTACGTTATATCAGCGTGCCTGTCTACGTTGTGTCCGTGTGTCTGTCTACGTTATGTCAGCGTGCCTGTCTACGTTATGTCAGCGTGCCTGTCTACGTTATGTCAGCGTGCCTGTCTACGTTGTGTCAGCGTGCTTGTCTACGTTGTGTCAGCGTGCCTGTCTACGTTGTGTCAGCGTGCTTGTCTACGTTATGTCAGCGTGCCTGTCTACGTTATGTCAGCGTGCCTGTCTACGTTGTGTCAGCGTGCTTGTCTACGTTATGTCAGCGTGCCTGTCTAGGTTGTGTCCGTGTGCTTGTCAACGTTGTGTCCGTGTCTACGTGTTGTTGTCCACGTGTGGTTGCCTGTGTATCTGGAGACTGTAGAAGCAAGAGCTAGCTGCCAGATGTAATGAGATGTCAGATTGGGTCTCGCCTACAACTAAGGATGTACTTTCTTATCGGGACTATAAATAGAACTCGGCTCCGTGGGAGGGGGTGATGAGATTCTGGGCTGACGTTTCCGGGTCGCTGGACACACAAACGTCATTTCCTGTCTACACCGCGGGTCTCTAGTCGTAGATGTGACCAACAGCACGTCTGACCTTTAGATGGCCACAGTAAATGCCACCTAGCTGACCTGTCCATACAAAAATGAGTTGGCTTTATACAACAGTCATCAAGCGATAAAAGTGTGACTACAGATTGTTAAAACTTAAAACAGTTGGCGTGTGGAGTATAAAAATGTATTGTTTCTTTATCTAAAATGTTAGCTTGTTTAAGTGTTTCTTTAATTGTAATGTAACTTAATACCCTCATCTTCTGGTCACCAAAGGTGAAGCTAGCGCCCCGGGCTCCGACCTTTGGGGGATGCGGGGGCAAACCGAGGTATAAAAAGAATGCTAATTCCAAACAGCCGAAGTTAAGAAATAAAACAAATATAAAAGCCTGTATAATAACAAGTTTTGAAATGCACTGCAAAAAAAGAAAAGAAACAACTTGCTCTTGTTGATAAGAGCTTTGGTCGCTCATTATATCTCTTAATTTTTATATTTTAATTACTGATCTAATGTGTTATTGGAAATGGGGGGGGGGGGGCGTTAGAAGTGGGTCGAAATTGAGATTTGCCACAAACCCACAAAAAGCAAACAAAAAGACTAAGTTAAAGCTTTAAAAAATAGACTACTACTTGGCTAAATTGACATACTACATTTAGGCTTTTTTTTTCTACATCAGTTGTGTGACACCCAAATAAAAACTTTTTAAAAAATTGTCCCGACCTTTCTAAATTGAAGGTGGGGGGGGGGGGCACTTTTTCATCAACGTGAAAAACTAGCATATAAATTAAGGGGGGGGGGGGGCAAAATTGTGAGTTCGCCCCGGAATGGGTCGCTACGCCTCTGCTGGTCACACTAAAAATATTGAATTTTCACACTAGTGAGTTATCAATCAAAGGGAAGTTATTAAAAATTCAAATTGTTTTTTGTAGCTAAATGAGTTACTTCCTTTGTTTTTGTAAACAAACCAAGAACCGCAACACTTGTTGCCAACAAGTTGTTGGACTAACTAAATAATAAACTTGATGATGGAGCTGACTATCTATGATAAAGACAAGTTAAAAAAAAGATACAATCATTTTAGTAGCACAGCCAAACATCTGGTACATTACACTGAACTTCACTTGAATCAAAATCCCTACAGTAAAAAAGCTTATTTTATATTGAATGTTAGCTAGTTCTATTCTTTTGGTCCAAAATTGCCCTACAAACATCAATACTATTTTTTTTAGCCTTCTCGTATACGAAGTATAAAGAAAGTATTGTAATCGCGCGAAAAAAAAATCTAGATTTCTCCTCGTTTTACACCTCCCGAAGTCGGAAAAACATGGTTTTGCAATCTTGTCAGGTGTGTGTGGGTCTGTGAACATGATAGCTTGAGTACCGTTACAGCTAAGTTGATGAAATTTCATATATAAGTATTATATCAAATTTGTAGTTCTGTATCAACATTTCAGCGATTTCCGGTAACCGGAAGTGGAACTTATTCTACTTTCAATTTTTTCAAAAGCCTATAGCTTGAGTACTGTTTCAGATAGATTAATTAAATTTCACATGTAAGTAAAAGATCTAGTTCTCTGTCATCTGTCAAATTTTGAGTTATTTCCGTTGACCGGAAGTAGTAATTTACGATATTTCCGATTTCTCAAAAAATGCATGTAAATTTATAAAGTACTAATAATATTCCACACTATATATACACATATTGTTTGGCGTTTATTTGGTGCCCAATTCTTTTTTTCTACAAGATTCTATTCTATTTTTAAAAGTTTAAGTAATTAAAAATGGATTAAAAATCATGTTTATAAATTATATCCCGAGTTGCCATCCCCTGTAGTGTTATATAAGAATATTCGAGAAAGTTTAGGGGAGATCACTCCCGGTTTATTTTAAATTAGGTACAGTAAACTCCCAGTCAACAGATATTTATTTCACAAACTTGTAACAGCTGATTGGGCTGCTTATGTAGGATAAAAGCGTTTTATAAATTTTTACATCACACATCATTGTGACAAGTTTGTCAGGCATTTTATAGATGTTTACATCACACATCATTGGAGATGCTTGTAAAGGGTTTTATAAATGTTTACATCACACATCATTGTGACACGTTTATCAGGGGTTTTATAAATGTTTACATCACACATCATTGTGACACGTTTATCAGGGGTTTTATAAATGTTTACATCACACATCATTGTGACACATTTATCAAGGGGTTTTATAAATGTTTACATCACACATCATTGTGACACGTTTATCAGGGGTTTTATAAATGTTTACATCACACATCATTGTGACACGTTAATCAGGGGTTTTATAAATGTTTACATCACACATCATTGTGATACGTTAATCAGGGGTTTTATAAATGTTTACATCACACATCATTGTAATTAGGTTTTCGTTATTCAGCTTTATTTCACAGCTTCAAAAAATTAACATGCACCTATCATTTTAATGCACCCTTAAAATTACATTTTGAACAAAGAATTGTTCCATAATTCTTTTATTTCTGTGAAACAGTTGAATTTGGAACAAATAAATTCATTTGATTTAATTTAATGTCACAATTACAAAATAAATGTATGTTTGAAATCTGTTTTATTCACTTGTACCATTTTTGTCCCATATCTCCAGCCTGTCTAGCAATACATTTCTTGCACTAGTCTGTGGGGTTAAACATCCTGCTCTAGCTTTAGTCTGTAAGACAAGTATTGTCAGGCGGATTGCTTTATAGTGCTAGAGGCTACTCAGGGTTCACTGAACTCACAGCAAGATTTCTCCCAACCAGACAAGTGAGAGATCCAGGAGATGTGTGGCCAGCCATGAGCTGCTCCTTATTTAGGCAACCTTCTCAACTCATGTGCAACCCACACAGCAAAACTCAACAGGACCAGGGACCCGGACTGGTGGGTGGCGGCCACAGGTGTGGGCACATATGTTAGCAGGGTAGTGATACCAAGTGTTGCCTGAAGATGAACATGATTAAGTTAGAGGGGTAGTGATACCAAGTGTTGCCTGAAGATGAACATGATTAAGTTAGCAGGGTGGTGATACCAAGTGTTGCCTGAAGATGAACATGATTAATTTAGCAGGGTAGTGATACCAAGTGTTGCCTGAAGATGAACATGATTAAGTTAGAAGGGTGGTGATTCCAAGTGTTGCCTGAAGATGAACATGATTAATTTAGCAGGGTGGTGATACCAAGTGTTGCCTGAAGATGAACATGATTAATTTAGCAGGGTGCGACACCAAGTGTTGCCTGAAGATGAACATGATTAATTTAGAAGGGTGGTGATACCAAGTGTTGCCTGAAAATTAACATGATTAATTTAGCAGGATTAAAATGATTAATTTAGCAGGGTGATGATACATTCAACAAGAAACAAAAGTTGCCTGTAAATAAAGGAAGTGAGAAGTGAATGACCAAAGTCCTACCTGACTGCCATGTCCTACCTGACAGCCATGTCCTACCTGACAGCCCTGTCCTACCTGACAGCCCTGTCCTACCTGACAGCCCTGTCCTACCTGACAGCCCTGTCCTACCTGACAGCCATGTCCTACCTGACAGCCATGTCCTACCTGACAGCCATGTCCTACCTGACAGCCATGTCCTACCTGACAACCATGTGCTACCTGACAGCCATGTCCTACCTGACAGCCATGTCCTACCTGACAGCCATGTCCTACCTGACAACAATGTCCTACCTGAATAAATGCCATTCCAAGGAGACAGTTGACTGCAAGCCGGGCCCTAGGGTGTAGGGGAGCTTTTCTAGCCATGTACCAGAAGCCAGTGATGAACACAACAGTCAGCTCTGCCTGTAGGATAAGTAATCATTGTAGGATAAGTCAGTCATCATTGCAGGAGTGATTTAACTGAATAAATGTTTACAAGATGTCTATGATTTAACTGAACAAATGCTTACAAGATGTTGTCATTAAACTAAATAAATGTTTACAAGATGTCTATGATTTAACTGAACAAATGCTTACAAGATGTTGTCATTAAACTGAACAAATGCTAACAAGATGTCTATGATTTAACTGAACAAATGTTTACAAGATGTCTATGATTTAACTGAACAAATGCTTACAAGATGTCTATGATTTAACTGAACAAATGTTTACAAGATGTCTATGATTTAAGTGAACAAATGCTAACAAGATGTCTATGATTAAACTGAACAAATGTTTACAAGATGTCTATGATTTAACTGAACAAATGCTTACAAGATGTCTATAATTTAACTAAATAAATGTTTACAAGATGTCTATGATTAAACTAAATAAATGTTTACAAGATGTCTATAATTAAACTAAAGAAATGCTTACAAGATGTCTATGATTTAACTGAACAAATGCTTACAAGATGTCTATGATTTAACTGAACAAATGCTTACAAGATGTCTATGATTTAACTGAACAAATGCTTACAAGATGTTGTCATTAAACTAAATAAATGTTTACAAGATGTCTATGATTTAACTGAACAAATGCTTACAAGATGTTGTCATTAAACTGAACAAATGCTAACAAGATGTCTATGATTTAACTGAACAAATGTTTACAAGATGTCTATGATTTAACTGAATAAATGTTTACAAGATGTCTATGATTTAACTAAATAAATGTTTACAAGATGTCTGTGATTAAACTAAAGAAATGCTAACAAGATGTCTGTGATTAAACAAAAGAAATGTTTACAAGATGTCTGTGATTAAACTAAAGAAATGTTTACAAGATGTCTGTGATTAAACTAAAGAAATGTTTACAAGATGTCTGTGATTAAACTAAAGAAATGCTAACAAGATGTCTGTGATTAAACTAAAGAAATGTTTACAAGATGTCTGTGATTAAACTAAAGAAATGTTTACAAGATGTCTGTGATTAAACTAAAGAAATGTTTACAAGATGTCTGTGATTAAACTAAAGAAATGTTTACAAGATGTCTGTGATTAAACTAAAGAAATGTTTACAAGATGTCTGTGATTAAACTGAACAAATGTTTACAAGATGTCTGTGATTAAACTAAAGAAATGTTTACAAGATGTCTGTGATTAAACTAAAGAAATGTTTACAAGATGTCTGTGATTAAACTGAACAAATGTTTACAAGATGTCTGTGATTAAACTAAAGAAATGTTTACAAGATGTCTGTGATTAAACTAAAGAAATGCTCACAAGATGTCTGTGATTAAACTGAACAAATGTTGGATTTTCAAACACATTTCTCCATTTAGGGGTAATGGCCCACATGTCATCTGGTATCCAGCGGTCAGCCATCTTAGGATAAGAATTATAGGTCAGTCCTGCATCTAGGCCAGCCACAAAAGCTCCTGTAGAAACAAGTTATAAGCTGTTTGTCTTAAGTCACCAATCATCAAGAAAAGCACGTCATTTTCAATAAATGGGACTAGTGCAAGCATACACAACTTCATCAAATAGCCAGTGTCAAACAAACACTAGCATAACAACTTTAACAGAAAATTATTTACCTGATATAACTGGGACAAAATTATTTACCTGACATAACTGCGATTATTTACCTGACATAACTGGGACAAAATTATTTACCTGACATAACTGGGACAAAATTATTTACCTGACATAACTGCGATTATTTACCTGACATAACTGGGACAAAATTATTTACCTGACATAACTGGGACAAAATTATTTACCTGACATAACTGGGACAAAATTATTTACCTGACATAGCTTGGACAAAATTATTTACCTGATATAACTGGGACAAAATTATTTACCTGACATAGCTGGGACAAAATTATTTACCTGACACAACTGGGACAAAATTATTTACCTGACATAGCTGGGACAAAATTATTTACCTGACATAACTGGGACAAAATTATTTACCTGATATAACTGGGACAAAATTATTTACCTGACATAACTGGGACAAAATTATTTACCTGACATAACTGGGACAAAATTATTTACCTGACATAGCTGTGACAAATACAGCCGTCATAACACCATGGGCGATTCCCCTGATTTTTGCAATACTTCTCACATCTGGTAGCTAGGGAGTAAAACAAGGATCATTTGTTTGTCTCATGACTGGGTATAATTTACCTGGATTGATTTGAGAAAGTGGGACAGGTATAATTTACCTGGATTGGTTTGAGAAGGTGGGACAGGTATAATTTACCTGGATTGGTTTGAGAAGGTGGGACAGGTATAATTTACTGAATTGGTTTGAGAAGGTATGACAGGTATAATTTACCTGGATTGATTTGCGAAGGTGGGACAGGTATAATTTACCTGGATTGGTTTGAGAAGGTATGACAGGTATAATTTACCTGGATTGGTTTGAGAGGGTATGACAGGTATAAATTACCTGGATTGGTTTGAGAAGGTGGGACAGGCCCTGCCACATAAAAAGTGTGTAGAGAACAAAGGCTGATCCCAAGTGTGCAGCCAGTCTGTAGTGGCTGACCCGCGGGATGTCTGATGGGTTAGGTTTATCTTCAAGGCCACTCTTGACCATGTACCAGCCTAGAAAACCCTGGATAACAAGTTAAATATACAGCCTAGGTCTTGTGTAGTTAATCATCTTAATTATATACTAACATTAATTATTTAAATAAAGAGATAACAACATTGCATGCTGAAAAAGTAGCAAGTACACAAATATTAAACCTCATTTAGAATTGTTTTAGGCTTAATAATTTTTTTAGCTAAATTCTTTCCTATCAAAATGATGTTATGTTAAATTTACTGTTGTATTAAGATTACATTTATCTGATTTAACTCTTGTACCTGGAATCCCAAAAGACCAGCATACGCTGCCAGGCGTGGCTTCAGTGCTTTAGAGATCCATCCCTTACGCAGGAAGTATAATGCAGGTAAAAGAAAGAAGACACCTGTGGTGCGTCCCCACATGCGATGGCCCCATTCCATGTAAAATATGAACTTAAAGTCTGACAGTGTCATCTCTTTCTCTTTTGTCATACTGTAAACAATTAAATGTAGTACAGCAAAACGTTTTTAAAAACAACCAGGGCAATGATCAGACACTATTCTTAACACGCACTGCCAACATAAAACAAGAAATTTCAAGCATTAAACTGAAAAATTCTGATCTTGGCAGGATGGTAGGCATGTATGCTACATCCACAATAGTAAACACTATACATCCAGTCTAGCTACATCATACATCCAATAGAGTGGTATTCATTCAAACATATTGTTTTCTTCAATAAGGGTAAATATTTGTATCAATAAGGGTAGATCTAAATGTTTTGAATAAAATTTCGCCATGTACTATGTAGCACCCTGGCAGTATTTTCAACAAAATATGTAAATTATTTCTGTTACTTGCTGTTTCATGTTTCATATTATTGTAGTTAATTAATGTACAATTTCATTCATCTATTTTTACTTTAATCTAGACATGTAACACAGTCAAAGACTACATAAAGTACTCTATTCAGAGTCTACCATTCTCTGCCTTACTATTTGTATTCAGGAAACTGTTTATATTTTTCAAACTCTTCCTGCCATTCAGCTTCAGTTCTAGGTGGTTTCATATCTTTGATTAGTCGCCAGTCAACCATAGAAAGCCCTGATTCTGTCAATCTGCAGATGGTAGGTTATTTTTTTCACTGCATAATCCATGTTATTTGTTCAAATTATGTTTCAGAAATATTTTTTTTTAATTTGAGTATTGCTGGTATTACATATAAGGTTCAAGACAATAGTGATGCTCTAAAAAAAATTATTCAGGAGAATTGTTTTTTTAAAGTAACATCTAGCAAAAAAATTACCTCAGAATAAATAATTTTTTAATTTTATACTAAATTTAAGGTACTAAAAAGCTAATTCTAGAAAAAGGAATCTTTATGTCGCTTTCCTCTTCCCTTTCATACCTAAAAGATTAATACTGTAAATATTCTAAAAATAACAAGTTCTAAAAATAAAAATTATGCATATATTTGGATAAACTGGAGGGAAGTGGAAAAGATTCTTATTCTAAAAAAGTTTTGAGAGATTTAAATTAAAAAAATGTCATAATGACGTAAGCAGTGTTCCATTTAATTTGAACTGATTGCTTGAATGGCTTGGCAGAGTTCTTTACCTTGTTACACCACCCAATACAACGGCACCAAAACACATTCCAGCACATCCTAGCAGCCAGGTACCCACAATTTTTTGGGACTTCTCTGACACAGCAGTTGGCGGTACTGCTGTTGCTGATCTTCTAAGTACAGCCAAAAGACCTGTTTTTGGACTCTGTAAAATAGTTGAGGAATAAGTGTTCATTTATTTCATTTGTTTGTTGTGTAGCTGAAGATATAAATAAATTTTTAAAAACTTTAATTGAGTGATGAAGAAATGTATCAAGGATTGTATTGATTTTTTTGAAAACTATAAACTCATTTTATTTGGCCCTAGTTTAAATTATCTTCAGGTTTTGTATCTTCTTAATCAACATAAAAATAGATCGACATAAATGAAATGGAAAATAAAAATACCAATTTTAATCTGCTAACGCAACCAACTTGTATTTGATGAAATGCCCTGATAGTTTTGATGGCCGCTCCCCTCATTTCTCTGTGGCAGTTAAAGCATGTTGCCTGTTTGAAAAAATATGAGTTTTTGAAAACAGTGTCCAACCAAAAATGTTAAGATTTAAAAATTATGATTCTAATCTAATATTTCATTATTTCAAATATTAAAACAAATTAGGCCTTGGCCTATTTATTAGGCATTAGCCTAAACTAAAGTAGGCCTAATGACTGAGGTGTTGGTAAATTGAAAGATGTTTTTAAATAATAAAAAATCTTAACATTGTTGCTCCTATGATTGACCACTTATGTTTTCTTGTCAGCAGGAGAAAAATCCCATCTACTGTGTGTTCATTAAGAGAATATTATTTTCGAATATATTTTTAAAAATCCATAGCTAGACCTATATTTAAAATTCTAAGCATTGTAGCCCACTTCTCGCCCACTCATATTTTCTCATCTACATGAGAAAAATACAGCCATTTGTGGGTCGTATATATAAAAACATAGGTTATAGCAGTAGCAATATAATGTTCTTGGGTTCATTGTGAGTTCATATTACCTTGTTAGCGGGAGAAATAATCAGACACATGCTAATGTAAGGCCAATTTACATACTTTATTACTACTATCAAATTAGGGTAATTAGTAACTAGGTTATTAGGCCTACTAGTCTGTAGGCTTAATATTTTTAAGTTAACACTATATTTATTAGGTAATCTCATGATATATTGTCGGATATTATCCGGTTTGAGTTTGGTTAACATTCATTACTGTAAACCATTGTTTATTTGACTGTCAAGTGCATCAAATTAATTTTTTAACTTAATTTTAAGTTTTATTGACAGTAAATTAGCAGCAATTAGAGGATCTAAATATAAATAATAAATTATTGTGTAGTGATTAATCTTTTTTTAAGAAACACAGAAAAAACTCGCAGAAGATCTAGATCTAGGCCTAGTAAAATGAGACGATTAGATTTACTAAAGTCTAAAGTAGTAAGAAGTGTGGTGATGTAATGTGTATCAAAGGTGTATATGTGGGACAGATCACTGCGTGTGTGCATATATATACTGTAGCAATACACAAAGCACAATAAACAATACAATATGTTGTTGCACGGAGTGAACGAGGGTACAAGGGATGCAACTGGTCGAGTGACAGCTGGTGTGTTGTGAGTGAGAGAAAGGGTGTGTGTAGGAATGAATGGGGAGGACAGTTGAAGGATGGAAGCAAAATTTCCTGAACGGTGTGACAAGACTACGCCATGGTTTTACTGTTTTTTACTGCTTTACTATTCCGACGCTAGATCTATATCGTGAGATTACCAATTGTCATTATATTAATTTTATTAAATTAACATATTCTAGTACTAGATTTACTACTAGAATCTAATAGGCCTAGATCTAGGCATAAACTAATAAAATACTTAAAAAAACTTTTTAAAAAACCACGTTTTTCTTGTGGACTAAAAAGTAGAAAATAAATTTTTCTTTTGTGCTTCCTCGAGCTGTGCAGGTTCTTGTGATGACTGACAAAAAACGTGGGTACGTTCACCATCAAATTTCCCGACCCATCTGCCAGACCCACGTTTTTTGTCAGTCATCACAAGAACCTGCACAGCTCGAGGAAGCACAAAAGAAAAATTTATTTTCTACTTTTTAGTCCACAAGAAAAACGTGGTTTTTTAAAAAGTTTTTTTAAGTATTTTATTTTCTCCTTTTTAGTCCGTTGCTACACATGAAAAACGTGGTTTTTAAAAAAGTTTTTTATATAGTTTATTTTCTACTTTATCTAATGACTTGATTAAGTATGACTTGACTAATTGTTTATAAATACACGGACTAAAAAAATCTTGAGCGACCAGGATTCGAACCTGGGTTGTCGCGGCCACTATATGATCACGGCCAGCGCGCTCACATCGATTGGGGCCGAAGTAACTGTGTCAATAAGCCTCCAGTCTTGTCAGTATCTTTAGAAATCATGTCCTCAATTTTATGGTCCTTGGGGCGTAATTAAATTAATCTAATTACGGTCTCTAATTGCTAGTTTTTATGATTGCATCTGAAATTGTTAGGCGAAAGTAGCCTGTACGCCAAATTTCAGATCTCAAGAGCAATCAGAAGTGGGCTAATTTTCGATGTCAATTTTAACAACAAACAAATCCATCCACAAACGCGAAGCTGAGTTAAGAAAAACGTGTTAAAATGTATTTTAATAGTTAGGCTAATGATAATTTTTTATCTAATCTAGAGGTCTACTACTTAAAACTTAACTAACTTATTAAACTTTTTTCTTAACTAGCAGGGAGCAGGTAGATCTAGCTAGATTCTAGAACTAGATCTACATCCATCCATCTAGATCTAGAAGTAGATCTAGTAGTAGTCTAGTACTAAGTCTAAGTACACTAGATCTAGATTCTAGTAGTATTAAGTAGTAGATTTCTAGATCTAGATTTATATTAGACTAGAATATCGAAACGAGCCCATTTAATTTATGGCAGGAAACAGATTCAACCCTCAAGCATCTACTTTTAGGGTCGATTTTCGCCAATTTTCAAAGTAACAAATATTGACATATTATATATCAATTTTGTTGCTTAACAATCGAGGAATTCAAAAATATAAAAATTAATAGCACTAGACATTTACATCACGTTCAAAATGTAGATTAACCACACTCACTCAACTGAGATTTTTTTTACATCTAAATGTAGTGAGGTCCAAAAATCCACGAAATTCACAAAATTAACGATATAATTACACAGAAATGTCACTTAGGCATACATTTATTTGTAATTATGTCAAACTTTACAAAATATACCAGTTTATAAGCTTATTTCTATAATTATTCTTGAGAAAAAAAACGACCGCCCTCCCCTTTAAAATTCTGGCTTTTAGAAACACTCTGGGGAAGAAAAAAATAACAGAGTTAAATATAGAAGGTCTATATAAAAAACATAATTAATAAAATATGTCTATATGCCAATTTTTAATATAGTTGCAGCATTTACATGGCTAATTATAATTGTTTAGTACTTTGAACATTAATTTAAAGTTACGACTGTCTGTGGCGTCATTCAAGTGTAGTGTCAGTGTAGGTGAACAGGGTGTTAGGGCCTGATACGATTTCATTAGAATTGGTAATGAACAGAATGTATAATTAGAACTGGCATATAAAAACAATGTTGATAATAGATGCAGTTGTTTTAATGCTACTTATAATAGTTCAAAGTGACAAACATAATTAAAACCTAAGAACCTGGAAGCGGTGACCTCATTTTACTGACACGGTTGTCAAATAGTAAGTGAATAGATCTAGATTTAGAATCTACGTAATTTTGAAAATACGCTAGTTCTAGAAGCAAAATTACTTTTAAAAACTGAAGTTAGTGATTAGATCTATAATGAAATTGAAATCAACAACTGATATGTAAGTATCTTTTGATTTAAAAAAAAAATACGCTTAGTTCAAAGAAAAAAAATTCTATGGTGTACTCGATCCCCATCCCAAAACGTGCCAGCCATATCGCATGCGTAGTCAGCTACTCAGCTGCTTATCAAATCGATGAATTTTAAAATTATATAATAAAAGTAGGTCACCCTAAAAAAAAGAGTAAAATGGCTCCCGTTTTCACGACAGCCGTCACTCGATTCATAATTTACAGAGTTATAAAGTTCTACTTTCTTTTGGCTATAGATTTAAAGAAATATTAATTTGTTATTTCTCATGCGTTCCAACAATTGTACCTAATTTTAATAAACATTAGATTAGTAAGGACTCGGTTCTTTTTAGAATTAGCCCTCGACACTATACAGACTATTGCGAAGAAACAGACTCGCGCGAATGTCGTGCGTAGGCTGGTTCAGTGGCGAAGGTTAGAAGCCAATTTGCGACGGAAAATTTTTACTTTGAAATAATTACATTATCAATTAATTTCGATTTAAAACAAATGGCTTAAAGTCAAAAGTAAACTAAAATTTAAAAACTTTGTTATTCGCAGTGTACTCAAGATTCTCGTGTTTTAAAGATAAGTCTAGTTTTACTACGTGTGCGTGCATGGTGCGAATACCGATTTTCCGCGACAGAAAATCATTAAAAATATAAAAAAAAAGTATCTACGGCAAAATAATAATTATATTTTACAGAATTAAATAGATTTAACTTAACTGTTATTTAAATACATGCTTCGGAGTAAAAAAAATACAATTTTATATCCGTAAAAAATTAACTGAAATTCCCGCTTTCAGCGACGCCGATGTGTCGTAATTTTCGGCAGTCATTTTGTTCAAATTAAAGTAAAAAACGCATTCAAATATACTTTTTTTTACTTTCATAATTTACAGCAATCATTTCTAATGAAAAATCCATAAAAAAATAATAGTTATTTTTACAAAATATTATTTCTTACCTCATTAGTGCAGTACACGTACTTTCCAAGTAGATCCATTCCGTCTAGATTTGCATACTTCGCATCCTTCGCCGCGGCACAAAATGTCATAAAAAACGAATTCCACAAAAATGTTGCTAACGAAGCTTGTAAAAACCTTGCTCTATTTATCAGTATAAACAAAATCCCCGAACGATGTCTGGTTAGAAAGTTTATGAACGGCGAAGACCGAATATGCATTTTGCGGTACCAATCTGTTTCCTGCCTTATAAATTAGAAATTATTTTGAAGCATTTTCATTTTTAAAAACAATTTTTTATTATTTATTTTTACTTTTTGCGTGATGTTGCTTATAAAATGTGAATCAGCTGATCTTAAAAGCGTCAAATTTCTTAAAATAAGAGACATTTCCACTTGAAGGGCAGTGAAAGCTTCAAAAGTCTAAAAAAAAAGTCCTTTTATGTATTATGTAACTTGGAAAAACTCAGTTCTGCTACACCAAAGTTAGATTCACTCTTTGGCTTCCAGAAACAAAACAAAAGCTAGATCTAGATTACGATTAAAAATATTTCAATCCCAAAAGAGTGCTCAATGGGAGAAAATCTGGTAATCTATCGTTTTATGTGTGTAAAATTGGCCGAGGCTAGTAATGTGCGAAAAAGTTGCCTCATTGTTAAGGCTGTAATAGAAGTATATTGTGATATATTTGTGGCAAATATTATAGATAACTAAAAAATAAACAAAAATCAATGACTAAATATATTAATATTGGCCAGATATTATCTTTAAACAGCAGTGTTTGCGAGCAAGATTTGCAAGCGGCCATCTGTAAGTTAGAGTGGTTTCCCCTGAATCTCTAACTATAATTTTCCCAAAAAAAAAATTAAGATGGCTGCTAAAGTAAATGAGCTTGGTTGCAATTCATAATGAAAACATCGCTAGTTTTATTTTTTAATGAAAAGTTTAAATACAATTGTTTAAAACAGGTATATTAATTTAATATTAATGAAACTTTTAAACAATTTTGTAACTTTCAAAACATAAATTCTCTAAAATGTGAAACGTTATAAAAATTGAATGGGTCACCCTTTTTTCACAAGACTAGTCACGGCCGATTTTACGTACCTAAAACAATAGATTACCGAAAATCTATCAGCGCAGTCATTTCTTAAGTATTTAGACTAGGCCTAGATATCACAGTCCGCACCCCCCCCCCCCCGCCCCCACCCCCCTCGCTACGCCTCTGGGCTAAGGTATAGTGTTTCTTCCAGACTTTTTTCTCCAGGGGGGGAAGGGGGGGGGGACTTGATATTCTCGGGGGGGGGGGGGGGGGTTGGGAGGGGGATGTCTACATTTTCCTGGGGGGGGGGGGCAGACACTAGTAAAAGTATAGGTTTACTAGGCACTAGCAAAACCCCCACGATATAAACCCTCTGGATAATAACCCCCCGACTGAGGTTTATATAAGTAAATTCTTCTTCTTCTTCGTTCTTAATTATTAGTGTTGAAGGGGATCGAGATTTATCTGCCAGTGGTGGTCTGAACTCGAGACTTTGTTCGAATTTATCAACCATGAGCTTTTTGCCGACTCGACCACGCCTCCAACACAATTAAGCGTTACGTGTCAACTGGTTATGCGCCATTGAGGCCATTGACTCCGATTTCAGCCTGCTTTTCTGTTTGGATTTGCTTCCATAGCCTTTGTCCAACCAAGAACAAACTACAAGGCAGCAGTTGTTTAATTTTGGAGTTGTCTCTCCTAGAAGAGTGGCTGTCCCCAGCTAACGAGCCTCATCTGCCCGAGGGTTCGAACTCGAGACTTTTCGGTTTAGCAACCATGAGCTTTACCGACTCGACCACGCCGACCCCTATATAAGTAAATAATAACGATGATGATAACCAAGAAAAATGAAATTTAAGTTAATGTAATTTTTTTTAACCACTAATAAAAGAGTTTCTACATAAAAGCATGCTATTAGAAAGTCAAGGAGTGACTTTGGTTGTATTTGATCAAAGATTGGGCACAGACAACACCTTAGATATAGGTCATCCACATGTGGGAACCTATGTTACCACTTGATATGTGGAACTGTTTACCAAAACAAAAAAAAATATATATATTTATAGCAGCGCACAAATTTCAACTGTTGTTAAAAGTTTTAATGAGCCTACCATTATAGAGTATTTGCGAGGCATCACTCACAATCTGTCTTTTTAAAGTTATAATAAAACACAGTTTTTTTCTAATGTTTGTTTTGTATTTAATTATTAATTTTGGTTCTCATCATCTTTGGTTTTTCCTTATATAAACCTCAATTGTGGGGTTTTTGTCCAAGGGTTTTTGTCCAGGGGGTTTTGGTCGGGGGGGGGTGGGTATGACCAGACACCAACGAGGGTGGGGACTGGGGTGGGTCAGACATAGTCACATTACAATGCAATGAGAATCTTACATTGTACATCACCGTAATTAGGCGAACAAAAGTTTCTTATAATATTTTTAAATAATGTCTTACAATTTTAAGTTTGTACTTGTTATTATTATTTAGATTACATCAAGACTTTAAATTATGACTTTTAATTTGTTTTTTTTCCAATGAAAAGCTGGACAAACTTAATATAGAACAAAGTGCTCAAATATCCCAATCCTAACCAAATGGAAGTCTGCGTTGAATCAGTACAGTCAGCCATCAATGCAGAAAATGGTGGTAAATGATCTTTTGCATTTATTGACTTAAATCTCAAGTACCCACACCACTAAAGAAACACATTGCAATACATTGTCTTGGTGTTATATAGCCATCCTCTTAGTGGATCAAAAAAGTTGATGCTGGTGTTTGGTAAGTTAAAAATTATCTGCTCCATGAACATCTTTCTTTTTCTTCATGATTCATTGACCTTTTGTGCTTAGGTGCAAGTCGAATTGAGCTGTGTGCTAATTTATTAGAAGGAGGAACTACACCCAGCATTGGTAAGTCATAAAAGATTCTTTGTTATTTTAATTTTTACAATGTCAAGTGACATTGCATTGTGCAAAATAATAAGATTTTGACATGATTTTTTTTATTATGTACACAAAACACGGAGTTGAATAGATTTCACTTTTGTACAAACATGAAACTTTTGTGGTTACTATAGAGCTCAGTTGTTTTAATAATAGCACACCTTTATTACATTGTTCATCTGCCCTGCTAAAATTGCAGGAGCTTTTGAAAAACTAAAAGCTCATAGAACTTTCATGAAATCACTTAACATGTCCAGAAATTGTGTAAAAAAAGAAATAAAAATGTGTTTTATATATATATATATATATATATATATATATATATATATATATATATATATATATATATATATATATATATATATATATATATATATATATATATATATTCTAAAAAGATTTTTTTTAATTAATTAAACACCGCTTTAATAACCAGTTTTGATTTAATAATCACTCTATAGTAGAATTTTTTTCCTAATATATATGATAATGCACTACTATTTAAAAAAAAACTAAAAAAAAAAAGCATGGGACACTCTTAAATTTTAGCAAAGCTATTCAAAACATAATATAGCGACCCACACTTTTTAAAGATCCAGCAAGACACACAATTGAAATATATTTTCTGCTTTTAAATGCATTGATAGTATGAAATTTTCACATTTGAAAATGTTTAATCAAGTAAATTTATTGTTTAATATGCTGCATACAATGCAGTTGTATAATGTTTGTTGATAGTTGTATTGTTTGTTTGTTGTCTAGGTATGCTGCAAGTGATCAAGATGCAGTTGTATAATGTTTGTTGATATTTGTATTGTTTGTTTGTTGTCTAGGTATGCTGCAAGTGATCAAGATGCAGTTGTATAATGTTTGTCGATAGTTGTATTGTTTGTTTGTTGTCTAGGTATGCTGCAAGTGATCAAGATGCAGTTGTATAATGTTTGTTGATATTTGTATTGTTTGTTTGTTGTCTAGGTATGGTGCAAGTGATCAAGATGCAGTTGTATAATGTTTGTCGATATTTGTATTGTTTGTTTGTTGTCTAGGTATGCTGCAAGTGATCAAGATGCAGTTGTATAATGTTTGTTGATAGTTGTATTGTTTGTTTGTTGTCTAGGTATGGTGCAAGTGATCAAGATGCAGTTGTATAATGTTTGTCGATATTTGTATTGTTTGTTTGTTGTCTAGGTATGCTGCAAGTGATCAAGATGCAGTTGTATAATGTTTGTTGATAGTTGTATTGTTTGTTTGTTGTCTAGGTATGCTGCAAGTGATCAAGATGCAGTTGTATAATGTTTGTCGATATTTGTATTGTTTGTTTGTTGTCTAGGTATGCTGCAAGTGATCAAGATGCAGTTGTATAATGTTTGTTGATAGTTGTATTGTTTGTTTGTTGTCTAGGTATGCTGCAAGTGATCAAGATGCAGTTGTATAATGTTTGTTGATAGTTGTATTGTTTGTTTGTTGTCTAGGTATGCTGCAAGTGATCAAGATGCAGTTGTATAATGTTTGTCGATATTTGTATTGTTTGTTTGTTGTCTAGGTATGCTGCAAGTGATCAAGATGCAGTTGTATAATGTTTGTCGATATTTGTATTGTTTGTTTGTTGTCTAGGTATGCTGCAAGTGATCAAGGAACTAGTTTCAATCCCAGTTTTTGTCATGATCAGGCCAAGGGGAGGTGACTTCTGCTACTCCCCACCAGAAATACAAGTCATGTTAGCAGACATCAGAGCCCTTAAAGCTGCAGGAGCTGATGGTTTTGTTTTTGGAATCCTTACAGTGTACAGTTGTTTTTAACACTCTGCTCTCAAGTGGGTCTTCAATATCTCACTATTCCTTGTCAATTATTAACTTCAATTTTTCTCTCTTCTCTATCAACAACATTGTCAGTTGTCTCCCTGCTCTATGTACATGTGTAGTTGTCTCCCTGCTCTATCTACATTTGTAGTTATCTCCCTGCTCTATGTACATTTGTAGTTGTCTCCCTGCTCTATCTACATTTGTAGTTATCTCCCTGCTCTATGTACATTTGTAGTTGTCTCCCTGCTCTATCTACAACATTGTCAGTTGTCTCCCTGCTCTATGTACATTTGTAGTTGTCTCCCTGCTCTATCTACATTTGTAGTTGTCTCCCTGCTCTATGTACATTTGTAGTTGTCTCCCTGCTCTATGTACATTTGTAGTTGTCTCCCTGCTCTATCTACATTTGTAGTTGTCTCCCTGCTCTATGTACATTTGTAGTTGTCTCCCTGCTCTATCTACATTTGTAGTTGTCTCCCTGCTCTATGTACATTTGTAGTTGTCTCCCTGCTCTATCTACATTTGTAGTTGTCTCCCTGCTCTATGTACATTTGTAGTTGTCTCCCTGCTCTATCTACATTTGTAGTTGTCTCCCTGCTCTATGTACATTTGTAGTTGTCTCCCTGCTCTATGTACAAATTGTAGTTGTCTCCCTGCTCTATCTACAACATTTTTCTCTCAACAGTGATGGTGAAGTGGATACTGTAAAATGTAAAGTGTTGCTAGGTAAAAAAAAGTAAATACATTCTTAGACATTTCACAGAAACAATACTTGCTTCTATAGTAGTAAATATTAAACAAACTTGTATTTTAGTGGATAAAGCTCAGCCTTTTAGGAGTTTACAATCAAACTCATCATTTGTATATGGCTGTGTAGCTGACCATTATAATAATGATTATTTATAATAATGATTATTTGAGATTTTTGTTGAGTGTAAATAAAACAGGTTGGTTTCAAACAATTAATTTTTCTTCAGATGCTGTTCGTCCCCACCCTGCAACATTCCACAGAGGTAAGAGCCATACAGTGCATGTGTCCTGTTACTGGTTTAAATATACAAGTGTTTCTATGGTGATGGTGGTCTATTTATAGTAATACAGATTTTCTTTAAAGCTAGTTTTGCAGAAGTTGTCAGACCTTTTTTTAATTGTAATCAGCTTGCATGGACTAAAACACATTTTATAAACATTGTCACTTTAGATATTACAATATATCATACCATACAATAGGTACATAGTGGCATAAGAGCACCATACAATAGGTACATAATGGTATAAGAGCACCATACAATAGGTACATAGTGGCATAAGGGCACCATACAAAAGGTACATAGTGGCATAAGGGCACCATACAAAAGGTACATAGTGGCATAAGGGCACCATACAATAGGTACATAGTGGCATAAGGGCACCATACAAAAGGTACATAGTGGCATAAGGGCACCATACAATAGGTACATAGTGGCATAAGGGCACCATACAAAAGGTACATAGTGGCATAAGAGCACCATACAATAGGTACATAGTGGCATAAGGGCATTCCAGCCATAGATATGTGTTGTGACATTTATTCCAGCCATAGATATGTGTTGTGACATTTATTCCAGCCATAGATATGTGTTGTGACATTAACCAAGCCTTGACGAGGGTGATGGATCTGGGCTTTGAGCGGGTCCTGTCCAGTGGGGGTTGTGCTGCAGCCTATGAGGGGAGAGAAGTTCTTCACACAATGGTGCTTCAGGTGATATACAGATTTTAATATCACACTTTGTACACCAGTTTATTTTAACTCCCCTTATTTTGACTCTTCTAAATCAATATATCCTGACTCTTCTATATTTATATATCCTTTAGTTTTAACTCTTCTGTATTAATATATCCTTAAGTTTTAACTTTTCTATATTATAACATCAAATCACACTTTGTAAATCATTTAAAAATTAATTCTTTAAGATTCGTAAATCATTTACTTTCAATGTCCGTAAGATTACAAGTCAGACTTAGTAAATGATTTAAGATTAGAATGATGCAGCCAGCATTTAGTCCAACTTCTCACACAACTGTAACCATGCACTTATTGATGAATATTTTCTTATATGCTCCATTCTTTTGTGGAATCAAAGTTTTCTCTTATACATCTAGGTTATGATATTGCAATAGCAAATCATATTAAGTTGTATTTACATATGCAGTTTTTCCAGATTTATTTGCATTTTGTAACTTTGTTGTAAAACTCTTCAGCAGCCATGTATTAAAATTTAAATCGGTGCATAAATTATTAACCAAATGTGTATATTTACTAATCCATTATTTTGTACAATTTTTGTCTTCTATGTACAAAAAATTACTTCTAATAAAATCTAATCATGAATTCTCCCAATGGATGTATTTTTTCACAAAGTTGTTAATTTTTTTAGCGCAATTTCCATACTGGCAATTGCGATTATTAACTCGTTATTTCTGGATGGATGTGTGTCCGCAGCTTTAAGTCGTATCTCCTCCTCAACGAAGCAATATCGAGGACTAGTTCCAAAAGCAAATATGTTAAGCAAGTTCCGAGGATTATTGTGGGCCAAACAAATTCCCGGAATTCCTTCCTGGATTTCCCGGAAAAGCCAAAAAACCTCGAAAAAATGCAGTTTTTGGCCCATATCTCGGCAACCAGACCACTTAGCAACTTGAAACATTTACCAATCGATTTCTGCCATAATTTAGAACAATATTGTCGAAGAAAGTTTTCAAAAATATCCTTTCGTTCGGTCACAAAAAATTAATTAAGGAAATTGCGCTTAAATTGTCACTAGACTTTTTATTAACTTGTTTTCTCATCAAAAACTAATGAGCCACTTTTTCTGTACAAGTTTCACAACTTTTGGTATGGCAGTTTTCTATATGTGCAAGTTTCATGATTTTTTTTGTACATGGTGGTTTTTTTTTTTTGACACAATTTTCATGATTAATATATTGTGTAAGTTTCCATTGTTCAATCTTTTTCATGAATGCTTTCCCCTGTTGCACTTTCCTCTAATCAGGTGTTTGTGAGCCATGTTACCCTCTGGTCAAATGTTTGTGAGTCATGTTACCCTCTGGTCAGATGTTTGTGAGTCATGTTACCCTCTGGTCAGATGTTTGTGAGTCATGTTACCCTCTGGTCAGATGTTTGTGAGTCATGTTACCCTCTGGTCAGATGTTTGTGAGTCATGTTACCCTCTGGTCAGATGTTTGTGAGTCATGTTACCCTCTGGTCAGATGTTTGTGAGTCATGTTACCCTCTGGTCAGATGTTTGTGACTCATGTTACCCTCTGGTCAGATGTTTGTGAGTCATGTTACCCTCTGGTCAGATGTTTGTGAGTCATGTTACCCTCTGGTCAGATGTTTGTGACTCATGTTACCCTCTGGTCAGATGTTTGTGAGTCATGTTACCCTCTGGTCAGATGTTTGTGAGTCATGTTACCCTCTGGTCAGATGTTTGTGAGTCATGTTACCTTCTGGTCAGATGTTTGTGAGTCATGTTACCCTCTGGTCAGATGTTTGTGAGTCATGTTACCCTCTGGTCAGATGTTTGTGAGTCATGTTACCCTCTGGTCAGATGTTTGTGAGTCATGTTACCCTCTGGTCAGATGTTTGTGAGTCATGTTACCCTCTGGTCAGATGTTTGTGACTCATGTTACCCTCTGGTCAGATGTTTGTGAGTCATGTTACCCTCTGGTCAGATGTTTGTGAGTCATGTTACCCTCTGGTCAGATGCTTGTGAGTCATGTTACCCTCTGGTCAGATGTTTGTGAGTCATGTTACCCTCTGGTGAGATGTTTGTGAGTCATGTTACCCTCTGGTCAGATGTTTGTGAGTCATGTTACCCTCTGGTCAGATGTTTGTGACTCATGTTACCCTCTGGTCAGATGTTTGTGAGTCATGTTACCCTCTGGTCAGATGTTTGTGAGTCATGTTACCCTCTGGTCAGATGTTTGTGAGTCATGTTACCTTCTGGTCAGATGTTTGTGAGTCATGTTACCCTCTGGTCAGATGTTTGTGAGCCATGTTACCCTCTGGTCAGATGTTTGTGAGTCATGTTACCCTCTGGTCAGATGTTTGTGAGTCATGTTACCCTCTGGTCAGATGTTTGTGACTCATGTTACCCTCTGGTCAGATGTTTGTGAGTCATGTTACCCTCTGGTCAGATGTTTGTGAGTCATGTTACCCTCTGGTCAGATGTTTGTGAGCCATGTTACCCTCTGGTCAGATGCTTGTGAGTCATGTTACCCTCTGGTCAGATGTTTGTGAGTCATGTTACAGCTTGAATAAAAAAAAATTCTCGTTTCCATCTGTTGAGTAATCTACCCTGTTTATCATGAAATGGTCACATCAAACCCATTGTGTTTGTTGACTTAGTTCTATCAATTGAATATCCACTTTTTAAATGTTCTGGCTTTTTATAGCCTGTGTAAATATGTTTATAGCTGATGTCTAGTGCAATGTACTGGTTTACTGTTGCTAGTTTTCAATACAAGACTATACTATCTAGTGTGTTACAGTATCACATCCATTGGCCTATTGCTAGTTTATGTTTTATTTTTTGTTGACAGAGTCAAGGCTCAAAGACAAAAGTTATGCCAGGTAAGACTTTCAGTTGTTTGAAAACAGAAATGCTGCACTTGCTTTAGATGTATTAAAACTTTAGTTGTTGTTGGCAGTTGTGTGAAACAAGTTGAACCCTGTGAACAAAGCATCCAATGGTGCATTTACAGTTCAATAAATAAAATAATCACATGGAAATTTGGTTTTATATTTATTAATTCAATTATTAAATATCACAGTTAGATAAAGGTTATATAAACATCAACTAAATGCCAGTAACAATTGTTATATTCTATGCTGCCAATTTCACCAGGCACTTGTATAATGGTGCAGGCACTTAAACAAAATGATTGCTTTCTAGGTGCTGGGATTACTGTAGACAACCTACAAGAGATATTAGCACTCTCAGGGGCAGGAGAGTTCCATGGGACTGCTAGAGAGAGCATGGAGTCTTGCATGAAGTTTACAAAACCAGGACTCTCTATGGGCTCAACCACTATACAAATTACATCTACAAAAATTGTACAGCAGTTACTCTCTATTTTTAATTCTATTGTCAATAAAAGAAATTAAAAATATTCCCCAGGTTTGTGTTTTACATATCAACAACGTAGTGTTAAATATGACATATGAACAGATGTAAACACATCTTAGCACCAGAGTGTCCACTAAGGGACCAATTATGTAGCTGGTTTGTCTTCAAATTTTAGCCCCTCCTCACCTAGCAAGGTGAGTGGGTTTTTAAAGACATCATTGCCTCATGAACACAACGAACATTTTACAGAATGTTCAGTTCATCATTGCAAGGTACTTTAAAGAACCCCTATATTTTAACATTCTACTTTGAAACTATTGTTAGAGTTCACATAAAAGACAGCACAACAGTTTGATTCTACTCAAAGAGAGAAATCCAAAAATCAAGTTTAAAATTGACAGATAAATAACAAAAAAAATTTGAAATTGGACAACAAAAGAAACCATAACATACACAACTATGATCATGTTTCACAATTCCCTGGTTATACAGTTGTTCTCTAAAGTACCTTAACAACTAAATGTGTTCAAGGCATGTCTCTCAAACGAGCTGGTACCAGTGTGCCAGCTGCAAGATCAGCTGGTATCAATAGCCCAGCTACAGAGTCAGCTGGCACTATAGGCCACGGCTACAAATAGTGGCTGTCAAGCTGTACCATAAGACCAGTGCAAGAAATAAAATTTCTCAACAAAGGAAGGTCTTGACCTCACCAAGGGCTTTTGTCTTGCACAGTGGACAGGTGTAACATGTCTCAGAACAAACAGAACACAGAACAACATGACCGCAGGGCAGAAGTAGCGTGTCAACACGTCTGTCATTACACAGCATACATGTCAGAGACTTCTGCAGATAGGTTTGTTCATGTTTTAAAGCCTCTGCTCGCAGCTGAAAAAACTGTTGCTCTTTAGACAATGCTGATGCTGGTTTAGACAACACTGATACTGGTTTCTGAGTCTGCAAGAGGTCATCATTATCATCACTTTCTTCTGTCTTGTAACCTTGAGTATGTGTAACTGTTTCATTGGGCTTCATGTGCTCAGATTTTTTGCCTTCGCTCATTTTTGTCTGAGTAGTTTTTTCTTCCAATCCCAGTTCTTTGAGTAAAGAATTTAAATTAGCAGCACCAGTTGCAGTTAGACAAATGTCAATAAATAACTTGATGAAATAATCTGCGCTGGGTTGAGTGAGATTATCAAAAGTATCCATCAGTTCCTCAGTGTTTGGATAACGATTGAGTTTCACTCTGAGCACAACAGCTGCCATGCTGACACAATTGTCAGTGTTACTAGAGTTACCAAGTCCCCACACTACTGCCTGAAATGTTGGTGACTTTAGAAATGGACTTCTGTCCAACACTTTACTCATCAGCAGCTTGTAAGAATCATACTGCTCATCATTTACAACTGTTGATACTTCACACAAGTTTTCTGACCATTTTACAGATTTCTGCTTGCTTTTAATTTTATGAATGTCATCACGGTGAGATTTGAAACATGTTGATTTACAATCTGTTTCAATGTCTTGGTGTTCAAACTCCCTATAATTTGCACTCCCGTGAATATCCAATTGGATCCCTTTCTCAAAACAATCAAAGGCCGAAATTTTACCACAGGAAATTTTATCAGGAACGTCGTGGTAATTTGACACAGTTTGGATGCGAGCTGCAAGAAACAATTGATAAATGTAACTATGTGATTCAATATCCAATTAACATTAAAATATTAAGAAATTAGACAATATTTACAGAAATAATTTGTTTTACTGGATTAAGAAGATTCAATAATCTAGTTCTTAGTTATCATGTCAGTAATGATCATAGGCCTACCAAGTTCAGATAAAGAAGCTGTCTTTAATCATCAGCGCTTTGGATTTTATCGGGATTTTGTACTTGCATTTTGGTTGTTGGAAATCCCTATTGCTATATTTTTAGTATTCGAAATTACCGTTTTCTATTTTTAAATCTTTGTGCGTCATCACATTTTAGCATAAATCAATTTCAGATTGTTCATTTTGTCTTCCTTCAGTATTAAACATAAATTTTAACAATTGATACTTAACTAGCTAGGCGATTAGGCGCACTTTTAACAATTAACATTCAAATGCCAGGCATTTTTTTGTTAAATCTAGTTAACAAAATGAATGTAGTTAATGGCAATCAATTTAAATTATTCAAAACTATCTCAAAATTAATCATGTTGTGCGAGTCACATACTTTACACGGGGTTTTTTTTTCTTTTCCTCTACGACAATTTGGTTCGATTACCACATTTTTAATACCCGGCCTAAGCCCTAATCTAACTGTAATTCTAGTAATTCGTGCTCCAACCCTTCATTTAAAGATAACTATACAGTATTACACTATTTTAAAATTGTATCAATATAGAACTATTAACTATATGACTTAAGTAAAGTCACTTTAGTGTGAATTAAGCAACACAAGATCTAGTAGATCTATATTGTATAACTAGTACTAAGTAAGCTATTAAGTATATTATTAGTATTAGGCCTAAGTATAATAATAAAATAATAGGCTAAATATAAATAGTATTAAATAGGGCCTACTGTCAGTCTAAATTTCTAAATTCTAAGTTTTCTCGATAAAGGCCGAACTAACGCGGTTTTAGTTACTTAAAGTTAATAATTAAATGAAGTTGAAAATATTTGCCTACCTGATAATGGCGACATGTTTTAGGCCTGTTGTCCAAAATTTGGCTTAAAGTTAAATTTTTTGCTGTTAAATTTCGTGCCCCCCAGGAAATAAAATGGCTACGAGATACTTGCTGCACACGTATATATATGCGCTTGCCTTCTATTTATAGCGATTATGGAAACACGTTTTTTTCGGAAATTCCAGAAGTACAGAAGTAAATTGTTCGGGAATTTTTTTTTTAAATTATGTATTAAACATAAGCAGATTGTTGACTACAAATAGAAATAGGGCCTATACAAGAATGTATGAACCTCACCGAATTAATATTATTATTAGGCCAATTATTATTATGCCTTATTAAATATATTATTAGGTGCCTATTATAATTAAGCATAGAATACTATTATCATTAATATACGAATTGTGCCTGTGTTCAGTGTTTCTTTCAGACTTTTTTTTCTGGGGGGGGGGGCACTTAATATTTTCGAGGGGGGGGGGGGAGCGGACTAAATTTCTGGGGGGAAGGGGGGAGACACTAGTAAAAGAATATGTGTGTATATGGTGTGACGTCACTTTTTTGCATTACAAAAAAAGCAATGTTAGAAAACGAGGTTTAGCCGTTATTTCGCGTTTTAGAAAACGGTTTTAATAAATTGTAATAGGCATTGATCAAAATACTCTATTTTGATAGAGTTCAGACAAGATTTTGGAAAAAGATCGATGTTTTAAGAAAAAACAGCAGCGATTTTGAGGGGGGGGGGGGTTGTAGGCTGAAATGTGACGTCATTTTAGGGGGGGGGGAGTCTGGCTTTTTGTGACGACGTTTGACGGAGGGTAGGGGGAGGTAAAAATCGTCAAAAAAGCGTGACGTCATTTATGGATGACCCCTAATATGTGTATGTGCCAAGTTATTTTTAATTTAATTAAAAGCCAATAATAATTCAATTTTGAAGAAGACCGCTATTTTAGTAATTGCATACAAAATTACACATTACACACCATGTTCTGGATTTTAAATACACAAATTTTCTCCAACAAAAATGATGATCAATCTAAGATGGGTCCAATTTGTCCGCCATTTCGTGAAGATGGTAACGACAGAACTCAGTGAAGACATTTGTCAAGCAGCAGTAACAAGAAGCAAACGATGAACACTGTGAACAATGGCTGGAAATGTAGGCACACCCCTAAGCTGTCGATCTACGGAATAAAATCTGAAGCTGTTTTTGTGATCTGTCTACCTAGGACAGGGGGGGGGGGGGGTGCTGGTGTTCCCAACCCAGAGTTTCTCTCAAGCATCTTTTAGGGGGACTCCCCCCCCCCTCCCGAACGAAATAGTTACTTTTACCAGTCCGCTCCCTCCAGTAGTCAATTGATTACACTTACAGTGGTGTAATCTAGAGCAGGGGGTTCTGGTGTTCCCATCTAAAACTAACCAGATGCGTGACAGTAGTCAATTGGACATTGACGATTGGGGCGGGGTACGATAATATAACTATCACTCAGTGGCGTCACTAGGTCGGGTGTCATCCCATGGTGTAACTAGGCCGGTGTTACCCGCCTTATTACGCCCTAAATGGTTTCATCCAGTGTAGAACGTACCCCCTCCAACCCCCGCGTGTGACGTTACTGCTCTAACTATCTCAAATATACCGAAAAGCTCGATGTAAGCCGACCTTTGACCCCTTCTTGTGTGCAGTTACAATAGGCCCTAACGTCAGACGACTGCAATAACGTGGACAATCTCATTTAAAGATAACAACACATTATTTACTGATTCAATGTTCAAGTATAAAAATACTTGAATGAACCCACTGAACTACCAAGTGCTGTTGTCAGCTGACACAGCTTATCACGTAATTTCGTTTAACTTTGGTCTATATTCTAGAACATGCCAGATTTTAATCAATATATATATCACAAGCCCCTAACATGCAAAAAAAAGTCGGTGACCTTTTTTGCGTTTTTATCAGTCATAATCGGATATTCCCGAAAGCATTCATTTCGAGAATCCCCGAAAATATTTTTAAAGCAGAAAACAAGATGTTGATTCAAATACCGAGATATCTCTAGGTTACACAAAAGCAGTGACCCTTAACGCTCTAATGAAATGTCTCTAAATGTGGTTCAGACCAGTTGAGAAAAAGGACAATTACAGATCTATAGCATTTGAATCAACAAGCTCAAACTGATTTGCGAGCACTGAACGGCCTGATCATCGACTCATGAAAAACGCGTGTGCATGCATAATGCTGACCATGCCGAGGTGGTCACTATTGTTTTTATTTGTATTTAACACCATGTTTTACAAGCTTACAAGTTAACATTTTTGAGAGTTTCTGCTGATTTGTTATAATTATTTTCCATACCAGAAAAAAAACAAACGAATAAGCATACCACAATGGGAAGGGAAATCAGTTTGTGACACTGTGTGAACTATACCGTGAGGCTGGTTGGCAGCTACATAGAGTGAGGTATTTATTATTTTTCTCTCTAAATTTTATTTTTGTATTATATTTTGTTATATCGACTTATTCATTTACTCGTCAAAAATTCAATCGAAAACTTCCAGTTTCTTTTAGACATTTTCACGTAGTGGGGCTTGAATATTCCGCGGGACACTGTAAAAGACATTAAAGTTTGTTTTTTTTTTAACTCCTCTAGGGGATGGGGAGCGTATTCCCCCCCCCCCCCCCCCTTAGCCAATGGCTAGACTTAATCTGCGGTAAATTCATGTTAGAAAATTTACGAGTGGAGTAAAACTGAAACAACCGGTTCCCCCAACTATTCAAAGGTGTTTTTTTTTTTAACTTCCCGATGTAAACCGGTTTTGCCAGCTAAGTTTAGATGTCCGCGTTAACGAGAGATTCCCGATTTTTCAAGGGTGGGAAAGGGCATTATGTAAAAATTTTTATTTTTTTTTTTGTTGTAGATGTTTTTCTCATTTAAGATAAAAAGAGTTGTTTGAAAACTCTTAGCCATTTAACATTTTGATATGGAACAATGAAAAATAACGCTGTGTTTGTTTTTATTTTTACTTTTACTAAAAGATTCCTTTTAGAAATTATTTGATGAATAGCCTGACATAATTACCGTAAACATTTTTTTACAACTTAGCGAGTGTGTGTGTGTAGGGAGCGGGACGGAGGGAATCGTGTGTTACCTGTGTGTGTGTGTTACATGTGTGTTATATAGGCCACTATTGCATACTCTATTGTCTCAGTTGGCAACCGACTTCGAATTATATTGACCCACTCTCCGAACGTTTGACCCACTCTCCGAAAGTTTGACCAACTCTCCGAACGTTCGACCAACTGTAGAAATGTTTGACCCACTCTGTTATTTAACAGCAGCAACGTCTTATGGAACGGGGGGGGGGGGGGCGGTGTAACAGTAATGTCTGAACGTGTTCAATGCCTTCTTGTAAATATCAGTGCATGTTAAAATAGACGAAACCGTTCCGAATATGGAATTGTTACTTTTTCGTGGATAAATGTTATACTGTTAGAATAAAACAGGCCGACGCGTTTTTAAATCAAAGCAAAAATACATTTAAAATCACTTCGCCCCCCCCCCCCCCCCTAAAAAATAAATAAAGGGTGTAAGGAATAAAATCTTTTAATTCTCAACAACGGACACAAACCATAAAGTATTTAACTTGATTTAACTTGCCACTGTCGTTAATGGAGTATTCGGAAAATCCCGTTTACTTGATTTAACTCAGGATGTTCAAGGTTCAAGATTTGATTTCCAAAAGAAAAGGAAATCCGACAGGCAGTGGCGAAGGCACCACCTCGCTATTGCTCACACGGAGCCCCAAAATTTAAGTTTTTATGGGCATGTTAGCTGACATCATGGGCGTGTTGGCTGACATCATGGGCGTGTTGGCTGACATCATGGGCGTGTTAGCTGACATCATGGGCGTGTCAGCTGACATCATGGGCGTGTTAGCTGACATCATGGGCGTGATGACTGACATCATGGGCGTGTTAGCTGACATCATGGGCGTGTTAGCTGACATCATGGGCGTGTTAGCTGACATCATGGGCGTGTTGGCTGACATCATGGGACATGTTGGCTGACATCATGGGCGTGTTAGTTGACATCATGGGCGCGTTTGCTGATATCATGGGCGTGTTGGCTGACATCATGTGGCGTGTTAGCTGACATCATGGGCGTATGGCTGACATCATGGGCGTGTTAGCTGACATCATGGGCGTGTTAGCTGACATCATGGGCGTGATGACTTACATCATAGGCGTATGGCTGACATCATGGGCGTGTTGGCTGACATCATTGGCGTGTTAGCTGACATCATGGGCGTGTTAGCTGACATCATGGGCGTGATGACTGACATCATGGGCATATGGCTGACATCATGGGCGTGTTGGCTGACATCATTGGCGTGTTAGCTGACATCATGGGCGTGATGACTGACATCATGGGACATGTTGGCTGACATCATGGGCGTGTTAGTTGACATCATGGGCGTGTTGGCTGACATCATGGGCGTGTTGGCTGACATCATGTGGCGTGTTAGCTGACATCATGGGCGTATGGCTGACATCATGGGCGTGTTAGCTGACATCATGGGCGTGTTAGCTGACATCATGGGCGTGTTAGCTGACATCATGGGCGTGTTAGCTGACATCATGGGCGTGATGACTGACATCATGGGACATGTTGGCTGACATCATGGGCGTGTTAGTTGACATCATGTGGCGTGTTAGCTGACATCATGGGCGTATGGCTGACATCATGGGCGTTAGATGACATCATGGGCGTGTTAGCTGACATCATGGGCGTGTTAGCTGACATCATGGGCGTGTTAGCTGACATCATGGGCGTGATGGCTGACATCATGGGCATATGGCTGACATCATGGGCGTGTTGGCTGACATCATTGGCGTGTTAGCTGACATCATGGGCGTGTTGTCTGACATCATGGGCGTGTTGGCTGACATCATGGGCGTCTTAGCTGACATCATGGGCATGTTAGCTGACATCATGGCGTGTTAGCTGACATCAATGGGCGTGATGACTGACATCATGGGCGTATGGCTGACATCATGGGCGTGTTGACTGACATCATTGGCGTGTTAGCTGACATCATGGGCGTGTTAGCTGACA